AATAATCTTAACTAAGACCACCGCTGTATGATACGCATGTTTAAAACATTGGTAATCCTCAAACGGATTATAAAAATATGAGTTTCTAAATGGACATACCTCATTTTTATATTTTACAGTGAGTTTTGATTAGTTGTTACTCAAATGTTTAACAGATAAAATTTAGTCTAGTTTTGAAGTACCAAGAGCGAACAATTGGAAATTCTATTTGTGTTTACCTACGGTACTCGTTTGGAAAGTAGCACAAACTACAAAAGGGATATCTGCGCCTAAATGTGAACTAATAGACTACAGTGAAGGCAGCTAGTCAACAGCATTCACTGTCAATTATTAGAATACTCTTATCATATAGTGGGATTTGACCATCATTCTTGTAATTCACCCACTGCTCCAAAGTGTAGTGCACGATTATGCAGCTACAAGATGCGAACCATGGACCCTCGGATCCAAAGTTCGGCTCCCTAATCACTAAGCCTCGTTCGGCCCTATCTGCGATATTTCTAATGAAAAATGGCCTTCTCTAGGAGAAAGTACACTCAGCGTATGCGTCTAAAGAGCATTTTAAGCCGGGCTTTGATAAGGGGGGTTTTCCATTTTTTCTTCAGTGGACTTAAAAAGTTTTCCGCATTAACAGAGTAATAAACATTTTTTAAAAACGCTTAAATCAGTTTTTGCAAACATTTTGTTTTGGACAGAATAAAAATATTTTGTGAACATTGAAGTAACGATGCAAATCACTAGCTTAAAAGTACATTTATTATTTCCTATCATCTACCACAGTACCAAGATTATCTAAATTTATATTTCTTACTTGGTTCATAAAAAAATAAAATAGCATTTAGAACTATATCTTTGTGGAATCTTAGGAGTAACAAAGAAATACGCGGTAAATAAAATCAAATAGCTTATAAAACAGAACCAAATTAAGTTGAGATAATCATATTTGCTTTAATTTTACACATTCCTTAAGCAATAGTTCAAAATTGTTTGAAATTGTTGAAAATATCAGTAACCACTTCAGTCAGTATCGCAGTACTGCTTTTTTTTTTATTGGTCTTTTAAAACAATCACATTTTAAGTAAAAAAATTCTTTAGAAAACTAGAAGTACATAGTAAAATTTGTAATGGACAACTATTATTTTGTTTCTTGAGTAGGAAAACATTTTGGACCGTTTGTTCAGACCTTAGCATAACGTCGTCAAGAAAAACAAAAACAGAAGTAGTCCATTACAGATCAAGACACACGGTTATTCAACAAAAACCGCTCAAACTTGACGAAAATTATTGCGTACGCCTATGCAAAAAGTCAAGTGAGTTATCGGCCTAACATTTTTACTACAGCTTCACCTAAGAGTAAAAATGGACCATTTTTAGTTTTTGTCATTCGGATTAAAGACGGCTGACTTAGAGCAGCAAAACTACAGGGTTAAAGGACATGCAGATACATGAGTACTGGTTAGGCCACGCAAACTAGATTAGCAATTTCTAGTTCAAGTTTTCAAAAGAATAATACAGGTGGACGGTTATTATTGATTATTCATTGCCAACTTTTCAGTACAAAATTCCTAAATTCTATGAAATTAACTTAATTAAAGATTGTTTAGCGTCCCGTGATATTAACTTAAACAATTAGCATACATAATGATGCTTGATACGGCTGTAATGACTGCAGTGGGGTGATGACAAGAAACTGTTAATCTAGATTCCATAGCGTTACTATAAAGGAAGCTTTAACACTGTTTTAGAGAGGAAAACCTGTCACCATATATTTGAAAGAATCTTGTTGGTTCTATAAAGTAAAGGTCTGTTCCGAATAATAGGGTTACGATCCTAAAGCTAATGTGGGTTACTATCGAGTGTCACTTTCTTACTTGCTGTGTTTTATTGGTGTGTATTGACAAAAAGTCGTATCTAATCAAAAACACCTCAGATGTAAAAAAAAAAAGGTGCAGCCAAAAAAGAATTGAGTGTGCGATTTAAAGGAATAAAATCAAAATTAGCCACCAGATTGGTAACTACACTTACAGCATCGATAAGACTTTTACAGCAAATATTCATTCATTAGTTAGCTAGGGCGCGTGTTTTGGTTTTACCTATCATCATGCCCCAATTTCAACACTAGTTACTAGTGTGTTTTTTATTGGCAGAAAAATTAATAATCTTGCACAAAACCGTAATGGGTCTTCCTTCGAAAACTAGCAAAAGTTCACCTTTTATTGTTTTAATTGTCGTGATTTTACTTTTAAATGGTGGTGTTTTTTTATCTTACCTTTCTGTATAAAAAGAGAAAGCCAAGTAATAAGTTTCATCCTATCTTTATCGCAATACATATATATTTTTGTTCTAATGGTATTGCATTACCCAAATTTCAAAAATAACCCATTCCTGGACTCCCATTCCTATAATTTTTAACAGCAATAACATTACTATTTATGAAACAAAGTTTCCACATTGAAATCTCAGTTCGTCAAGAGCATATGAATCAATATCATACAAGTGTTTGTTTTTTCCTAATAACCAAGTCTTCTTTCTACAAATATCAGTGCAACAAAAGTTACGTACTTCATTTCATATTTTACAGAAATCTAAAAAGCTGGAACCTTAATCTTACCAAGCTGCATAACAAATAATCACTATAACATCTAAGATTAGTTAAACAAATTATTAAACTTACTCCTTATCTCTGACGTCGGGAAGATTTCTATGAAGAGAGAGAAGGTCACTGATGTATTGATTAAAAGCATTCTTTTCCCACCCTTGCTTCACCATGGCTTGCTGAGACTGGGTCAGATTATTCAATTTGACTGGTTTTCCCATCTCTCCTGGGCCTTCAGGATCTCCAGGTGGAGGAAGCACCCCATGACCTTGGTCTCCAGGGACATCGACCGCTTTATGATACTTGTGACGAACTCCTGGGGGTTGTGGGGGAAAAGGTTGATTATCTATTGATTCACGTTGGTTGACTTCCTTAAATTTGTTGGTACTGTCTCGAATAACGTTCTTGTTTGGAATGTTTCTCATTTCAACGTCTTTACCCGTATTCACTTTCTCATTATAGGCTAGCAGCACGGTTACCAAAAACCACGTAACTATTACAAGCACCAGAATCTTAATGACGGCACTTCGTCTTCGGGGGAACAAATTCATAATGGTACGTCTGACACAGGTAAGCGTTGATACAGATATGACAAGGATAAGACAAAAAAGGTTAAGACTATTATAGGTACTTCAAATGCTTCAAGTCGATGATAATATTCAAGATCTTGGATGAATGGATGGGTGCCTAAAGAAATAATATAATTGTAATACAATTAAAAATCCTAGCTCTTAAAATTTTACAAAACAAGAAACAAAATGTTAAAAGCTAACTAAACAGAACAATGGTTGTACCTGTACTGTTAAAAAAAATCTTAAAATTTACACAAGATGAAATTCAATAGCAAACGGTAACGAAACGGTTATTGTTTCACATTAAACGTTCCTGTACGAATAAAAGTTTGATAATATCTGTCTTCTGCATAAAGAATAGTATAGTAGTACGTGCTAATTATTATTCAAACCGTCATGATCCATTACGTTGATAGTAAACCAATAAATGTCCCACTCATCTGACTTGGCTGTTGGTAACAAATGTATCTGTTATTTGACTAACTCAGCTCCTGGCTTGGAATTGTGCGTTATCGCATAGTGTAGGTTGACAAACTGGGATAACTGTTGATGACTTATGGAAGGTTTATAAAATGTGTTTTATTTTTTGACCTAATGGATAAGATTGTGGTGTAGACTTGATGGCAAGTAGAATTTAAGATTGAGATCAGTCAAGCTGGGGAATATTCTGGCCTGATAGTAAATGTTTCTGGTGTTGTGTCCGTCACATTGGAGAGTAGCATGGTATGGCGTAGGCCTAAATTATAACCAGACTCACAAAAGCTAATTTCAAAATTTAATAAGCATATAGGCTGTGAGTTGAGTACAAACTGCTTTTCACCATAAAACTAAAATATCATCTTTATTATCGAGATGAACTTCTCAATACAATAAATAAAACTCAATGTGGTTTAAATACTACTAATAACTTTACTAAGATCAATAAAAAGTTTTGCATGGATTTATTGTTGTTAAGTTTATTTAGACGTACTTTTAAGAAATGACTTAAACTTGGTAATAACAAGCCGTAAACATTCAATATATATAATAAAATATCGTTGTGTTTTACACGGTTAAACTCGATTAATGTTTACGGTATCATATATTACTTTAACAACAAAGGTAATGTAACGTTAGGTAAAAATTAACGTATATTATATATCGTCAAACCCAGTAATACTTTCGACGTGAAGCTGAAGCGCTTTGGAAACAGTAAGAGAGCGTTGGGACAAAGACACAAAGGAAGTAACCCGGATATACATACATGAACGGAAAAGGTTTTGTATTCTATTTGTTGTTGACCGTGTCAGAACACTTGGTTACAGCAGCCGTATTTTTACGCGCAAAATATCTCGCATTAACTTTCCGGTGGCAGCAAATGTTTGTGATTATTAGAATGCACGTGTGTTCGAAAATGTTTATTTCTTGGTGGTGGCGTAAAAAAA